CTCTTTGTGCAGAGCTTGGTGACTGACAGGCCACCCCAAACAATGGCACTGTCATCGCCTCCTGAAATCGCTGTTCTAGGCCAGACAATGAAATGTCTGATGGCCTCCGGCCTCTGCACCCAGGTTGTGTATTAGGGACTCCCTCCAGGATGCCCACTTTCCCCTTGGCACAGATTTTGGGAGAGGGTGTGGTGCCAGAGCTGTGGCCAGTTCAGTAGGCTAAAGGGATGGGCCTGCCTGTGTGTCTGCCTCCCCAGGGGCACTGGGAGCTCAGGGTGGGGGCTGGGGGTGGGGGTGGGTTCAGAGTGGGTGGCAGGAGAACAGTCTGGCCGAGGCTGTGCTCTCTCTGCCTGGGATCTGGGGTCAGGTGCTCTGCCTACCCGTCCCAGAGGACGAAGGCCCCTGACCTTCCCAGACCCTCAGAGCTGCTGGGGTTCTCGACATGCCCGATACCTCCCCTTGAGAAGATGCGAGGTGCTGTGGCTCTCAGAAGAGACCCAAGTGTCATATCTGGTGGCTTCTGGTCCTAGGAACAGGGTTTGGGGCTTCACCAGCTAACAGATTCTCTTATCTGCCTTGGGGAAAGTGCACACAGAATGTATTAGTCATCAAGGAATAATGAGGAAATTTGACTGTCCCCAGGGACATGCTTCCCCTTCACAAGGCACTTAGGAAGCTGAAGTGGGGACACAAGAAGAAGGCCCCTGGGTCCTGGGGGTGCCCTGTGGAGGATCACTGTCTATGCTGGGCCCACCCCGGCTCTTCTCCGTATCATTGGCAGCCCTCCCAAAGCATCCTGCCCTGTGGCTTCTTTAAGCCTTAGCCCCTCCCACTGGGCCTGGTCCCCGGCTCCTCCATCCCCTAGACTGAACACAGCAGTCCTCCCCAGGCACAGCTGCTCCCTTCCTGCTGGCCTGACCTATCCCTCCTCTACCCAGTCCTGCTTACAGCCTCTACCTGCTCTGGTCTGATCCTCTTGTTATTTTGTGAAGAAGAGTCCTACTGACCTAATTACTCATCCCAGCATCCTGCCAGCTGCAGGGGCTCGGGGATGTGTCCACCTGGGTGCTGGGATTCCCTGTGTACTAAGCATGCACAGAGGGACCCTGCTCTGAAGCCAGAGGGCAGGGAGCTATACATACCGTTGGTAAATGCAGATTTGACATGGGCACTCAGGACACTGACAGGTCTCTGATTGTTGATGTGGCACTCAGGACAC